GGGGGGCTTGGGGAGGACCTGCACCTCCGGCAGCAGAAACGGCCGCCACTGCGGGTCCTGAAATTTGTACGTCACGATGTAGGAGCTGAGGCGGTTGATGTTGTTGCTGCGACGAATCGAGGCGACGCAGAGCTCGTCCGGATCACGCACCCATCGACGCGTGTGGCCCAAGGCCGTGGAGGAGGCGCAACCCTCCGTTCGGGGGCTTCCTAAATCCCCGGGAGGAGGGGGCCGGTGATAGCTGGTGCTAAGCCGATCCGCAAGGCTGAGGGCGCTTGGCTTGTCCTGCAGAAGCGGGACCGTGGACTCAGGCTGCGCCAGCGCCATGGGATACGTCAGGAGGCGGATTCGCTTCTTATCATAGCTCGACGTTCGGCCAAGACGCACAACACGAAGGGACTTTGGTGGCATAGGACACGCACTCACCCCCCCACACACATAAAGGGGGAAGAAATGTCCTGGGTGATGGTCGTTTTCTCTTTCTTCTTGCCTTTGGGTACTCACGGCAAAGCACTTTGTAAGACTGTAAAGGGGTGATGTCAATAAGAGAGTCAATAAAGGAATTAGAAGAGATTCAAATAATAAGTTCCTCAATGTATTCTTTAGTTCATCAGAAATGTGTACGCTTTCACTGAAAAAGACAGCAATACAAAAAGAGACAAAAAATTTTTTTTACAAAGATGCATTCGTAATAATCATCTAATCCTAACACTATATTCCACTTGAATGCTTTTCACCTAAACGATCTCTTCTTTTCAGAATAGTATTCTTTCTACAAAAGAAAGAAAGCAAAAGAAAAAGATTACTACAAAGCGAAATAGGGGCTTAAAGAAGGAGGAGTTGAGCTAAAATAAGGAATCCTCAAAGATCCTAGAAGCTAGGCGTTTGTACATTGATCCACTCAAAACGCCATTCGTTAAACATTTTATCACTTTCCTCTAGAAAAAAAATGAGATAATTATCGATTATAAAGGACTTTTCAATGTGTTCTTTAATAATTTCCCAAATGTTTAAAGTACCGTTCTCCTGTAATAGTCATTTTATTGGTTCCCTCATATTTTCTACTTAAAAAAAACCTTTCATCCCAATGAACAAAACGATAAGCAGAACCAGTGCGACTGTTACAACTGTACGCTCCTTACCTAGTACTATCAAATTTTAATGTCAAAAATGCTTAGATTCTGGGTCATGTGTCTAGGATGTTCATTGCCCTCGGCTTTGGCCTTGGCGGCATTCGCTTCATTTTGCTGTAGGAGTTCCTCAGGGACTTGCTTGAACTCAGCCTCTATCAGTTTGCCGATGCAGTAGCCTAAGCGGAACTGGCCACACTGCACACACTCCTTCAACACCCAGATCCATGACTCCATATTCGGCTTTACCTTATTGCGATGGCTCATTTCCTCGAGAAGATCGATCATCGCGCAAAACTTGCTTTCATTTTCAACTGGCTCCGCCGCCTTGCTTGGGGCCTCGAAGATCTTCTGTAGCGTCGCATTGTATGTTTCAAGATCAGGCGGGCAGTTATTGACGTTCATTCTCACCAGTACTTCGCCAGCCTCGTCGTAGTATTGACATTGTTTGATCTTGTCGATCCACGGTTGGGTGTTGGTATCGACTTCATAGCCAAACAGGTCATACCTTTTCACTTCACTAGACACAAAGCGGAGTGCAGGAGCGACGTACAGAAACTTGCTAGCAAAACGACGCATTAATAGACAAGCAATATATTATGTGAAATTTCAGTATACTTTGACGGTTGTTGAGTTTGAGGTCAGAGCAGAATATGTTAGCGATATGAAACTTGTAAAGTTCAATAGAAGAAGATACAAAAAAAAAAGGGAGACAGAGCGATGATGAGTTTGGTTAAACATTAAAAGGTGATATAATTGAGTAAATACTACTTCGTAATATTTACCTTCTTTTTTTCCCCTACCATATATATTCAATTAAAAGAGAGAGTAGTTCAAAGTGCGTTATTGATTAGGATGTTGATAATGTGACCAGCTGGAGCTACTCTTTCTTTTTTTCCAACTGTATGTATTTATGCGTTAGCTACGCGCTATCATTGTTCTCTATATGTAATCAAGGATATTATTGAGTGCAGCATGATATGCCTCAATGATTGCGACACAGTAGTCACAAAGGACTAAACAGCTTGCTCTGAATTCTTTTTATTTTCCTCTCCGAATCTTATGCACAAACAGCCATACAAATCTGCACGTGAATAAAATAAGCCCCCCTTTGTTCTTTCGATCTAATAAGCGACTGCAATGAGATCGATTCGAGAAGCTAGATGTTGAACCGATTGTCATGTGTCTGGTAAATCTTTCCTTCCGAGGATAAGAGACGCAGCGCGTTTCGGACGTCGCCCGGGCCAAAATCGTACTGCTGCGCGGCCGCAATGAGTTCATCCATGGAAAGGCCAATATCAGGGTTGCTGGAGCGCTGGATTACGCTGATGAGGAGGTCGGTGAGGGTGATTTTAGTATTCCCTCCGGGCAGGACGTTCTGCGCGCCGACCGCCGCGGCGGTGTTCAGGACGACGCCCCCGGTCTCGGCGGCCTCACGTTTTTCCCCCATCACCAGCCGGAGATGGGTTAGTAAGGCGTCGAGCATGTGAAAGTTCATCTCGCTGCTGTCGGCGAT